GTGTTGTTTTGATTTGCATTTCCCTAGTTGCTAATGATGTTGAACATTTTTTCGTGTATTTTAGTCATTTGTATTTCTTCTTTTGAGAAGTGTCTGTTTAATTCATTTGTCCATTTATGAATTGGGTCATTTGTATTTATGGTGTTAAAATTTTTGAGTTCTTTATATATTCTAGATATTGATCCTCCATCAGAAGAGTATCTAGCAAAGATTTTTCTCCTATTTTGTAGGTTCTGTCTTCACATTCTTGTTTCCTTTGCTTTGCAGAGATTTTTAATTTGACCATTCAATTTAGTAACTCTTGACATTATTTCCAGAGCTTTAGGTAGACCCTTACTTCTTACCATACAAAACTTACCAAAAATTATCTAAGAAAAGACTATAAACCTAAACTGAAAAGCTAAAACTATAAAATTTTTACAAGAAAACACTGGGGTAAATCCTCATAACTTCAGTTAGGCAACGGTTTCCTAGGTAGGACACCAAAATCTCAAGCAACCAAAGAAAAATAAACTGAACTCTATCAAAATTTAAAACTTTGTGTTGGATTCAGTATCAAGAAAGTGAAAAGTTAACCCACAGAATGGGAATATATATTTGCAACTCATGTATCTAATGAAGAATCAATATTTAGGATACAGAAAGTATTATTTTGACTCAGTAATAAAAAGACAACCCAATTTAAAAATGAATGCAGGGGGGCTGGGATATAGCTCAGTTGGTAGAGTGCTTGTCTCACATGCACAAGGCCCTGGGTTCAAACCCCAGCACCACAATTAATAAATTTAAAAAAATCAGAGCTTGAATAGGCATTTCTCCATAAAAGATACACCAGTGGATAAGCAGGTAGAAAGATACTCCATATCAGAAGTCACTGGAGAAATGCCAATGAAAATCACAACTCCTTATCACTTTAAGCCCATTAGAATTGTTGTACTCAAACAATAGCAAATGTTAGTTAAGAAATTCGCATTGGATTAGACAAAGTGGGATGGTGGGAAGGGAAGGAGGATAGGAATACAAAAGACAGTAAAATGAATCAGACATAACTTTTCTATGTTTGCATATGAACACACGACCAGCATAACTCCACATCATGTACAAGCACGAGAATGGGAAGTTAGACTCCATGTATGTATAATATGTCAAAATGCATTCATCCTACTGTCATGTAATACTAAAAAAAACAAATGTTTTAAAAAATAATTAGAATATTCAAACATCACAGGTCAGAATGAAGAATGATGCAGACATTTCAGCCTGACAGTTCCTGGAATGTGAAAGTTATCATCTGACCTAGCAACTCTACAATTAGCACTTACCCAGGAGAAAAAAAAAATATCCTGTCCACACAAATATTATGTACAAACATTTATAGCAGCATTATTCCTAAAGCATGGAACATCCATCATGAAATATTATTGACAATTTAAAAGGAATAAAACACTGATATGTGCCCAGCATGGAAGAGCTTTGAAAATATTATGCAAAGTGAAATAAACAAGTCACAAAATACCACATATTGGTAAATCTCAATAGACAGTGTGGAGAAAGAGAATGTAGAACAGAATTGCCTTAGGACTCAGATTAGGAAAGAATGAAGAGTAACTGCTACTGGGTACAGGTTTCTTCATGGGGTAATGAAAATGTTCTAAGCTTCGATTGTGGTAATAGTTGTATAACTCTGAATATCTAAAAATAATTTAGTTGTACACTTCAAATTGAATTCCAAAAAAGTGGTTGTTTTTTATGGAATGAACTATATCTCAATCAGGATTTTTTTAAAAATGTAACTAGTCACCAGGTCCCTGTACTTTGTAGAATTTGGGGTTTTATCTATTGAGTGAAGAAGGGCTGCTTTGGGCCTCCAAGAATGTTATTACTTGAAATTAAACTTTTGTTTGAAATGAGCATTATGAACACTCTCAACAACTCTGGGTACAGAGAGTTTATAATATCGATGAAGGGCAAAATTTTAAATAATTAACAATTAACTCCTACATCTGACCAGATGTGGAGTATTTATTTCATGGCCCGTCCGTGGGAACAGTTAGAATCTCAGGCCAGTAGGTTGCCCTCGGCTCTGGAATACATTTCCAGGTCAGTTGCCCTACCGTCAATTAGTGTGTGCACTCAAGGGGGTGCAAGCTGATTTCAACATTATCTTAAACAAAACATAATTAGGAAGGTATGTGTTCTTGCCAAAAAATTACATAATGCATTCCAAGGCCAATTAAAAATTAATTTTGGGCCAATCCTGCTGAATATACGCATTTAGCATCTGAATAGTACTCATATAGAGTACCACTTTTTTCTTTTTTTTTTTTTTTAGCTTCAATCTTTCTTTTAGGATTCAGTAATTCTGCTAATTCAGGTTTCACAAGAAAAAGTTGACAAGTCTCAAACACTTGCCTCACAATAACATGTCCATTCACTCCCTCCAATGCCTCACAATCCAAAAGGTGTAAATGCCTCACTATTCAAAATTGATCCACAGCCTGGGGATCACCTGAGAGATCCACTTCCTACCACAGAGCCTGCATCTGCATATTAATAAGATCCCCAGGCAATCTGTGTGCACATGAAAGTTAAGAGGCCTTGCTCTTCCATTCAAGTGCAGTTCAGTGGATAGATAGATAGGATTAGGAAAATTAGGCAGTGGTTCATTACCTATATAATCTTGTTTAGGAGCAGATTGTAGCAACCTCAAAACATCTCTGTTTGATTGAAAAAAGTGAAGTCTACAAATTCAAGTAAGTATATATTAAACCCAGGAAAGAAAGTTGCAGTGATCCCTTTTAGTTAACTCTGGGAAGCTTTCCCATTTTTACATTTGCCCCTAGTGTTTCCTCCTGGCTTTGCCCTTTTAGTCCTGGCACCACATCCCTGGGGAGGTCCAGCCTGAGACACTTAGGCTGAGAGAAACAGGTGGTGAAATATCACTGGTGACAGGAGGATTCCAGGGTGAAAGACCTATCCATCTGGAAAAGAACAATCAGACTGGGAAGTACCTCTTTCTGTCTCTCCACTTAAGTACAGTTCACGTTTAGCCTTTATGTTCCTTAAAGAGCTCCAGCTCTTCTAAGCCTACGGGATTTGGATACGTGGAAACTCATCCATTGCCCCTTCACCCCCACGTTTCCGTTTTCCTGCAAAGGAAGTGCACAAAGCCAAGTAACTGGGAGGTCCTCCCACAGAGATCAGTGCTCTCCAAGCCATGGTGGGGGTGGAGGAACTGGGAAGGGGTCCAGAAAGGCTCCTGGAGGGTGGTGTTTTAAATGCTGATTCTCAGGCTCTATCCTTACATTTCTGATTCAGGAGTTAGATAGTCTATTACACAGATCTGATCATTACATGCTATTGATATGCATTGAAATGTTACACTATACCCCATAAGTATGCATAATTACTATAAGTCAATTGAAATATATATTTTTTAAAAGATTCTGATTCAGGGTCTGAATATAGGCCCAGAAGTTTGCCTTTTAACAAGTATTCCCAAAGATTCTGATGTAAAAGGTCCAGGCCTACATATGAGATACAGATGCTCCTGGGATTACTACAGGTATGGGGTTATATCCCCATAAACCCATTGCATTAGCTGAAAACACTGTAAGTTGGAGATGCTTTTACTACACCTAACCTACCAAACACCTATGTACTTAATACACCTAAACTGCCAAACACCATAGCACCATAGCTTAGCAACACAGTAAAATTTAGTTGTTTACCTTCATGATCTGTGGCTGACTGGGAGCTAGGACTCATTGCTGCTGACTGGCATCAGGAAAGAGTACCACATATGGCTAGCCCAGCAACTGACCCAAACTCAAAATTCGAAGTACAGTTTCTAATGGATGCATATCACTTCTGCTCCAAAGTTGAAAAATCTTAAATTCAATAAGCATTGAAAGTTGAGAGCCCACTGTGATTGGTCTGAGGACAGCAGTACTGCCTTTGTAAATAAATCACTTCTTCTTTACGCATCCTGTCATTTTCTGAATGATGCTGTCAACTTTCGTCTATTCACTCTGCATTTCTGAGAACCTGCTGGGTGTGTGGCTGCCCATCTTATCTGAGGCTTTCCTACTGTGCTGTGCTGTGCTGGGGGAACTGGATGGGAACCTAGGAAGGGCGTGACCACTTGAGAAAGCTATTTCTTAACTTCCTAGAAAAAGCGACAAATGACCATCATTTCAAGATTTGTGAAACCGATTAACCAAAATAGCTGCATTACCTAACCAGAGTCACCATCATTTACTGCCAGGAAGCACCAGCCTACCAGAGGCACCGAGGCGTTGAGAGTGAGAAGGTTGAGTCTGCAAACCGACAGGTTCAAATCCTACTTTCTCCACTACAGTCTAAGACCATGGAAAACTAATTGGGCTTTCCCCTGCGTTCCGTTCTTCATCTGTAAAATGAACATATAACACCTATCCCATTGAGCTGGGATAGGGATTAAATGAAGCTCTTAAATACCTAATTAATACAGACCGCTCTTAAAAAAAACCCTAATTTTCATATATCCATTATAAATTGTTAGGTGAAGCCCACAAAATAACTTGAGTACACTAAAAAGTGATTCCAGATGTTTATTTGGAATCCTTAAAAAAAAAAAAAAAACACCTGGAATTCAACTTCATGTTTAATTTAAGCAGTTCGAATGAACGATTATAATTAGAGTGATCTGAGGTTTGCTTGTTTTTGAAGATTTTCCCAACATTTAGCTTCTTTGGGAATCAACGCCACCCTCTGCTCCACGCTGTCCCGTTTCAACTCCCAGCTTGGGGGGGACAAGAAGGCGGTCAGTCCTAGGCGGGTGCTCCGCGGGAGAAGGGCCAGGGGCGCCAGGGATCTGGGTCGGAAGTCCAGCCCGGAGGAGAGGGGCCCGAGGGACTCGGGTCCCGCAGCCCGCAAGCCGCTGCCCCCCGAGGCCGCGCAGCTGGAGGATGCGGCCGGCAGCCGGGAGCGTGCGCGGCCACGTGACGGCCGCTATAAGAGCGCTCGGGGCGGACGCTCGGCTCCCGCCGCGCCTCCTCGCTGGCCGCGCTCCTCTCCCGGCGCCGGCAGCTCCGACCCCCAACCCTGCGGCTGCAGCTGCCGCAGCCCCGGACTGCACCATGACAGGTACGCGCCGCCCTGCGGACGCGGGCGCGGACCCCTGGCTCCCGCCCCCGGCCCGGGGAGTTCCCCGCGGGACCGGGACCGCTGCAAAGTTGTTGCTGGCCGCGCGGAGCGTGCTGCTGCCTGCGTCACGGCTGCCCGCAGCCCCGGGGCGCGGAGTGGGGGGCGGCGGGCAGAGCGGGCCTCGGCGGAGCCCCCGCCCGCTTCCGTGTGCTCGCCCTGCTCTGGCTCCTGCGCCTGCTCCCGCGGTGCCGGGCGGCGGGGCCGAGCGCGGGGGCGGGGGGGAGCCGGGCTCCCCCAGGGGCGCCCTGCGGGATCGCGGAGTGCCGCCCCGGCCTCGCGCTGGTAGGAACCCCAGGCAGGGGCGGCGGCGCGGCGGGGACACCCGCGGCCTTGGTCGGCTCTTGGGCCGCCCTGCGAGGCCCTGGCCGCCACGCTGAGCCTATTTTTAGGCCTTTGGGGCCGGGTTGCGGGGAGCTGGGAGCCGGGCTAGCGTCCCCGGGGGCGGGCCTCGGCCCCACTTGTTGCGAGGCGCCTGGTGTCTGGAAGAATATGCCCCCAGAACCGGGAAGCTCCAGGCTGGCTGGTCCTTCCGTGTCGTTGAGGCCAGTAGCTGGGGTTATTGCAGCAATTGCATTGCGGAAAGACTGCAGGTGTCACACGGAGTTAGCTGTCTTTAGGAAGGTTAAACACCTACCCAGATGTCCCTGCTCTTTCCTGTTCATTTACACTGTTTGCTAGGTCTGTCGATTAGCCTGTATTCCTAAGGATTTGGCCTCTCCCTTATTAATCTTGGACATCATCCATGTCCTTGCTTCCTGAAATCCTTGAGTCCTACTCAGAGTAATTTTTTTTTTCCAGGATCTCCTGGAATTTGCATTAAAACATAATCTAGTATACTCTTTGGTACAGAGTAACTTGGAAAAGTTAGTCTCCTGATGGACTGACGATAATAGAAGCAGGTACAGACAGAGGTTGATCCCGCATGTCAAGTGACAGGTGTCACTGTTTTGAGCTTTCTTAGAATATGACTGCCTGGGGTTGGGGAACAGCAGTTAGTCATTTCACAATTTAGGAGTGGCCTGCCCTGCAAGAGGGCCAACAGTGTATGTGTGAAGTAGCAGTCAGGTCCATACCTAGGGGATGCGCTGGGCCCACTGTGCAAACCACAGCTTCTTCTCTCTTCTCAATGGAATTTCCACTACTTCCAGCCTCCACATGGTAAAATGGGCAAGGGACAATGAGGAAACCCAAGACAGAGAGTGACTTCATGACAAAATGTCCCATCTCCCTGGTTGGGCAACAGTGCCCCCAAGTGACCCCAGCCAGAGTTTGATCCTAAGTGCCCTATGCATTTGGATGCCCACCAACCTGCTGGTGTTCAGATCCCATTGGTGATGATGCCCAGAATTGTCCCAGGGAAAGCCTGGAGTGATCTTGAAGGCTGGAGGGTGAGGAAAAATAACCCATGTGTTTGCCTTCTGTTCTCACAAGTGATTATTGGAGATGAGTATGTCTGTCTGTTTGTTTGGGGGATGGATGTAGGGGACGTGGTAGGGGGGTACCGTTGCTTCTCCATAGAAGAGGAGGCAGGTTTCCTAGAGCTTGTGAGGTGGTCTGTAAATCATTTAACAGTGGGAGGGGGGGATAGTAGAGGATAGGAAAGGCAGCAGAATACAACAGACACTAGTATGGCAATATGTAAATCAATGGATGTGTAACTGATGTGATTCTGCAATCTGTATACGGGGTAAAAATGGGAGTTCAAAACCCACTTGAATCAAAGTGTGAAATATGATATATCAAGAACTATGTAATGTTTTGAACAACCAACAATAAAAATTTAAAAAATAAAATTTAAAAAAAAAATAAATAAATAAATCATTTAACAGTGATTGGTGACTAGGTAGCAGCATCAAGAAGGAAGGTGCTATTTGAGCAGAGACTCAAAGTGACCCTACGGGGTGGTAGGACAGGGGAGCTATTGTTTCAGGTAGAGGAAGGAGTAAGTATAAAAAGCCTGAGAAATGGCTTTAACACACACCAGAATCAAGAATGTGGGGCTGGGGATGTGGCTCAAGCAGTAGCGCGCTTGCCTGGCATGCACAGGGCGCTGGGTTCAATCCTCAGCACCACATAAAAATAAAATAAAAGATGTTGTGTCCACTGAAAACTAAAAAAAAAAAGAATGTGACCACTGCTTTCAGACTGTCTCAGTTGAGGTTGACAGTTTCATTGGTGTTTATTGAAAATACTGTGCACCTCACCTTGGAAGAGAAAAGGGCAGATGCTCTTGCCAGTCTCCTCATTACCACTTGCCTCAAGTGCATCCCCTGGTATTAAGCTATTTTTCTATTGTCTAGTCTGAGAGTTTAGTATGTCTGGATTTAATTTGTACAGCTCGGTCATCCTCGTGAAGGTTGTCAGACATTCCTGCTGAACTGTAGTCTTGAACCATTCCCTTTTCTCTTTCTGCAATGCTAGGGTTTGAACCCAGGATGCTCTACCACTGAGCCATATCCCCTGCACCTTTTATTTTGAGACAGGGCATTGCTAAATTGCCCAGGCTGGCCTCGAACTTGCAATCCTCCTGCATCAGCTTCCTGAGTAGCTGGGCTTACATGGGAGCACCACCATGCCCTGCTTGAACAATTTCTTGAAGTGACTACCTGGGTTTCCCCCTCAGAAATCCTACTCCTTTACTGATAGAGCAAGCTGACCTCTAAGGAGCTGATTTTGCTGAATTATTGCTGGGGCAAGACCTTTTGCAGGTAAGATATTCTAACCAGTGTGTCTTCTTTTCTTTGTATTAAGATCAGGCCTTTGTGACACTGACCACAAACGATGCCTATGCCAAAGGCGCCCTGGTCCTGGGCTCATCTCTGAAACAGCACAGGACCACCAGGAGGCTGGTCGTGCTTACCACTCCACAGGTCTCAGACCCCATGAGGTAAGGACTCACTGCCTGGCCCTCTGTCCATCCTTGGAGCACTGACATCCTTCTCTGCTATTTCTGGCATCAGTGGACATTGAGACCATACCCTTTTCAAGGTGGAGTACTAGGTAGAGAAAGGAAAGAGTCCGTGAGTGAAGGACACCTGGGTCCAGAACCTCTTGCTAGCTTTGGGGAGATATTTCAACAGGCTCCCTTCTGGGAAGTGGTATTCTGACCTCCTTCTTCCTGATTCCAAATAGGAGTTGGGAGAGGACTCCCTGCACCAAGTGATCTGAGTGCCTCCATCCAGTTGTTCTCTGCTTAAACACACCCTCACGAGGTCACAGTTCATCTGTATTCCTGTCCCATAGAACAGCAGGAGTTACATTGTGTCCTGCTTCAAACCAGGGAAACTCTCAGGTGACTTTAAACAAAAAGTAGCAATTTTCTCATTGCTAGTTGACATTTGTAACCCAAAGATGTTTGTTTGTAATATAATACATCCGCATCTTTGTCAGAGAGCTGTCTGAACTAAGGATTTTGCTGGGGACAGCACCCTGAGGGGCACAGGCTGCTCACTGATGGGTTAGTTCACTTTGATTTGTTGGAATTGAATTTGAGAGCATCTGAATGAATTACCTGGTTCTTGATACAAACTTTAAAAATATCTGGGCACACTAACAACTTCATGAGGTGCTCATTTTTGCAGTCTTCTGGACCTCCTAGAAATGGAATCCCCCACTTCCCTTTAATGTAAGCATAGGCCAAAGGCCTCTGAGAAGTAGGCATTGTGTGTACTCATATTTATCTTCCCCATGAATGGCTTTGCTCCTGAAGGGTTATTTAGAAAGAGACCAAAGGGCTGCTTCCCAAAGTGCAGTCCATTCATGAGGTGTGTTCATGAAGCCAGGTCTCGGATCCCCACCACCTCTGATCCACAGTGGCTCCTCTGATCCACAGTGGCTCAGTGGTGCCCTGAGCATTTCTTATTAAAATATCAAGTTTACTGCATAAACCAGAACATATTTTTGTACAGCCATGGAGACAGAATACACTGCCAGTTCTTTTCTTTATATCTCACTTCGTTAAAAACTTTCAGCAATGGTGTGTTTGTGTTATGCCTTTTTTTCTCTAGTGCTGAGTTTAGTGTCTTACCTAAGTTCCCTGCACTAACCTACCTCAGGAGCTTTCTAAAATAAAGATTGAGTTAATTCTGGCTGTGGGGAAGGGTTGTACCTCACAAACCAAAGTAAGTGTCCCACTATGGCTAAATAGAGTGCTAAGCACATGATACATGTAGGTTATATTGTATTCTCAAAGATGGCAACCTAATAGCTAAGCCCTGTAACTTCTTTTCCAAACACAGGACTTCAGGCAGTTCTGAGCCAATTGCTTTACCAAAAGCAACTACTTACAGGCTTCATTATACATTACTCAGCATCGTTTGTAAAAATATGCAGTAGTCAGAAAGAATCAAATCTAATACGATATTGTCAAACACAGGCTGTTACAAAGATAAACCGTCTTACCAAATGTCAATCACGTTTTTAGAAACTATTTCTACAACCTGCTGCGTGCGAATACTAAAATGAATAATAAAAAAATTGAATGTATAATAATAATGTCTTAAGACAAGTACTTCATCCACCCCACAAAGAGTTCTTATGACTGTATAAAGTTAAGTTTTCATGCAACTGAACACAGTTCTGAAGTAACATCAGGACAGCTGTAAGGGGGTGTACTCTAGCAGAGCAACAGATTGTTCTGGTGATGGACAGGGCAGTGAGGCAACCGTCTTATATTAGAATGGTCACTTGTTGTGAAAAGACTCCAAGTGCTGTTTTCCGGAATTTGTTTTGACAGAAGAGCTTTAGAGACAATCTTTGATGAAGTCATCATGGTGGATGTCTTGGACAGCGGCGACTCTGCTCATCTGACCTTAATGAAGAGGCCTGAGTTGGGAGTCACGCTGACGAAACTTCACTGCTGGTCTCTCACACAGTACTCAAAATGCGTGTTTATGGATGCAGATACTCTGGTGAGTGTGGCTTTGGAAGCTGAAAGGATGGAGACCTGTTAGGCATTTGAGGAATGCTGTGAGGACTTGACAGTAAAGTTCAGATAAAACCACTGTCATGGAAAGTGTCGCACAAGGAGGAGGAGGGCGAGTGGTCCCAGCTGCCCGACAGCTGTCGTCATCTTTTGTCTTGGATAACATGGGGAGAGCTTCAGAAGGGCACGCTGCGGGGAAACATTTCTGTAATGCCTTTCTCCCCTTGAATCAGGTCCTAACAAATATCGATGACCTTTTCGAGAGAGAAGAATTATCCGCAGCCCCAGACCCCGGGTGGCCTGACTGCTTCAACTCTGGAGTCTTTGTCTACCAGCCCTCAGTTGAAACGTACAACCAGTTGTTGCGCCTTGCTTCTGAGCAAGGTAGTTTTGATGGTATGTATCTGTGTCTTGTCTGATAAGTATTAGTGTCTTCTTGGGGCTGGTCTTCTCAGAGGTATAATTGCCACTGGTTCTTGTGCCTGGGAGACGCATGAGATGTGGCAAGCATTAAAAGTTGTGTTATTATTATTATTTTTTAAATTTCACTGTCATGTGTCTGTGTACATTCCTTTTTTTATTATTCTATAGATGCTTAAGATTAACTAAAATTAAGACAGTTTTACAGGCTTACCTTTAAATGATTTTCCTGGCTTTAACTGAGTCTATGATGAATGTATAATGATAATTCAAAAATAAGAAAAGGCTTATGAATAAAAACGTCTGCCTTTAGGGCTGGAGATGTACCTCAAAGATAGAGTGCTTGCCTAGCATGCTTAGGGCCCTGGGTTTGATCCCCAGCACTGCAGAAACAAAAACAACTACTGTCTTTAAACCTGAGTGAACTTTTAGCTCAAGAGGGTTTGACAGCCATTGCTAACATGAGAACCAAGTATTGTTTCCATGGAAACTTGAGGAATAAACCTGATAATTTGGCTGTCATTCTCTTGGGAGGCATTAAAAACCAAGACAGAAAGTTCATGGGAACAGTCTGTTTCTACACTGTCATTTTCTCTCAGGCTGCGTATTGGATCAAGTGGTACCTGCAAGGCAGAAGGGTACGGCATTGGCAAAGTTGGCTCGCACTTTCTTGTATGGGTAACCTGCATGTAAGCAAAGGGCTGACTCTTTGTGATACAGGGCTACACCTTCTTTGAAGAACTTACTTTTTCTTTTGTGGTTCTGGGGACTGAACTCAAGGTCTTGAACATTCTAGGCAAGTGCTCTCTTACTGGAGAATCTGAATCAAATGAATTAATAGGCATGCTTCGGGGCCATCTCTAAAATAATAAGCCAGTTTTTAAAGACAAGAACAAAAAAGACAAAGCCAGTAGTTAACATGCAAAGGCAGTTCTTTTTAAAATTATTCCTGGTGATTCTTTTGAAAAAAAGAAAATGCCCTGTATAGACAGAAGGGAAGGACATGTTCCAAGAAGCCCTCCCAGCAGAGGTTCACTGATACATGACACTGTGGCAGACCACAGGGGAGGAAAGCAGGGAAGGGCCAGAGGCCTGAGCACTGCAAGAGATCCCTGCAGCCCTTCCCCTTCAAAGCAGGTCTAAGGCGTGCCCTGAGTAGACGTTTTGGAACAGGCCGAAGCAGCCTTTCTCAGGATGTCAGATTCACTTCAATTAACTAGTTAATAAAATTAAAAATCAATCTTAATTTTTTTTTTAATTTAGAAGATTAAATCTAATGGTTTGTTAGATTGCTGAAATGAAGATTTTGAAACTTAAAAACATTTCAAATTATACATAAAACTGAGATTGGGTCTTTGCCCTTGCCATTCATAGAAATTGAATTCTGTTTAGTCATTTCACTGAGGATTTGGGATTTGCTGTTATTTTTAATCTCATTGAGAAGAAGAAGGAAGTTTAAGTTTCAGTCTTGTTTTACTATTTAGCAAGTTTACAACCTAAGCCAGCTGTCTCCAAAGAGGGGCAATTGTACCCCCTGAGGGACATTTTGCAGTGTCTGGAGACATTTTTTGATTGTCTCAGTTGGAGGAAAGGGTTGGGGTGCTTCTGGCATCTGGTAAGTAGGAGCTACAGATGCTGCTAAACATCCTACAGTATCAGGGACAGCCTCCCACACAAAGAAACATTCAGCCCACATATCAGTAATGCTGAGGTTAAGAAACTGCTCTATGGCACACACCTGTAATATCAGTTACTCAGGAGGCTAAGGCAGAAGGATTGAAAGTTTAAGGCCAGCCTCAGCAACTTAGCAAGACCCTCTCTCCAAAAAAAAAAAAAAAAAAAAAAAAATTAAAAGGGCGGTAATGTAGTTTAGTGGTAAAGCTCTCCTAGGGATCAATCCCTACAACCTACCAAAAAGAAATTGCTGTGCCTAAGACATGGCACACACGTAGAACAGGCATACACAGACCATAATGATTGGCAGCACCTAACTAGATGCGCAGTCTTCTTCCAAGCAACCTTAAGAAAGGAGATAATTGGTCAAACGTTCATCATGGCCAGCAAATGAAACTGCCTTGAACTTCATAGACTATATTATTAGATCCTACTCTTGACCTTTCCTATAAGGGATGAAAACTGTATTTGTTTTTAGGTGTAGAACATGTATTCCTTATTTCTACTGGTGATACTCAAAGAGTTACTTTTGCATAAGAGGAAGAGCAGAGCCTTTTAGCAGAAGTCCACTGTTGGGCTTAGCCTTCTCTTCAGAGTGTGGCTTTCCTCACCTCCTGTGCTCTAATTGAAGGAAGGAAGTGGAATCCTGCCAGATATCCAGAAAGTCAGTCACATTCTAAAATAGATCTGTGGCCGGCCAACTGCCTGAAATCCACATGATTTTAACCATGTACAGAGAATCAGCTTCTTCTCTAGAAGAGTGTTACGTGCTATTGGGAGATAAGAGTTCAGAGATCCAGCCGTTGTGTGCCTCAGTGAATTCTCCAGGGTACACTTTGAGAACATGAGGCTGATTATCTGGTAGGGACAATCCCCAAGCTCAGAAAACCTGATGGGGCTTGGTGCCCACTGGATCGTGGACTGTGTTCTGGAGGTAGGAGGCCCTGGAGGGCCTGGGGGCAGGCGTGGAGCAGGCCCAGCATGCAGAGTGCTCAACAGTGAAAGTACTTCCCGCTTTTTCTCCAGAACCTGAAACCTCCCTGCCCATTTCATTATTCAGCAGGGTTTCCAGCCGCCGGCCTTCCTCTGAGGCACTGCATTTACTGCCTGGTTGTGGCAAAGGGCTGAATTTTCTCTGTTCATAGCAATGCTTTAATTGAAAGAATTAAACAGTCAACTATGCAGATGAGAATCTGCAGTTAGTTCTCAGGTGTTTAAATTCAACAGCAGAATAAACTAGTAGCTCTTAAATAAAAGCTTGTTTACACTTGAAGTGTGTGTTGGGGATTTTCCTTAGCAAACAAGCTCCCTCCAGGCCGCAGAAGCCTGCCTTGGGCTGAGGGGGTTTACCATCACCAGATTAGTACCTGCATGACATGAAGACCTGTGGGGCTAATGCTTGATAGCAGTGAACGTGTATTTATGAACAAGGTCCTTGTCTAATGAGAGAACTGTGCTCTGCCTGAAAACTGAGTTTTCAGTACATTGTATTTTGTAAAAAATCATCAATATAAATATATTTTTATTTTAAAATTATTTAAGAATTATATAGAAATAATTTTGCTTAGGTGTCACCCCTTAGACACCAAGACAAACAGTTCCAAAATTTCTTTTTTCATTGTTATATTTTCTAAAGTTCATCAGTTTTTCCCCAGCTGCTCACCAGGGCCTTAAGTCCCAGCCTATTTAGATTGTATTGCAGAAGACCAATTTTTCAGAACTGAATCTGAATTTCTTTTTGTTGTTGTTGATGGGCCTTTATTTTATTTATTCATAGGCAGTTCTGAGACTCAAACTCAATGCCTCACACGTGCTAGACAGGTGCTCCACCACTGAGCCACAACCCCAGCCCCCATCCCCACCCCCACCCCCGGCTGGATATCTTGAAAGTCCTTAATCTCTTTCCCATGTTCAGAAAACCTGATGGGGCTTGGTGCCCACTGACAAGCCACACAGGCCGCTGATGACTGAGCTTTTGCAGCTGCTTTCAGGGTCCTTCTAATGGGAAGGAATGTGGCTGTCTCTCTTCTAATCACCAGCCCTCTGACTACATCCCCTATCCATGCCTCTGGCCAGAAGAATAACCCTAATATGGCAAAGCATGCATGGTACCTGACATCTCAAGCATTAGAGTTCAGAGCTAGCAACCACATACGTAATTCATGGCTGGTATCTGACTCTCCATTGGGGCAGAGTCCAAGTTCCTGTACGGTTGCTTTGTATTTTCAAATTTTCTCAACACTTTCTTCATCACTGAAGTTAATTTCCTGAAGTGTTGAACAATAGCTGTTGTGAAATAGACATGCTAGCATTTGATAGTGTGTGACAAGATAAGGTTCAGGCTTGTTATCAGTGAGAGGAAGAAGAGGTCATGATCTGGTAGGTACTAATCAGCAATTTTGTTTCTTCCACATACTCCTGTGAAACGAAGCCGAAGCACTTGACTCTTAATTTGAAGAAATCAATCTGAATGTGCATTGAGGTTTATTTTCTTTCTCCCTATGACTCTAAAGTATCGTAAATTAAGGGTACTTGTGCAGTTGAAGACAAGAGTTTAGTGCTTGAAATTTGCCATCTATTAAATTGCATCTGTAGTGTTACTTTTAGAAACCTAAGTGAGAGGAATGCATATTTTCCAATTTGGAGGGCCTTTTAAAAAAAAATCTTGGCACTTGCTTTAATTACCATAACCTAAATACCCTCAACTTTTTAATCATGTGTTGGAATTTTGTTCTGTAGTTAAATTTTCAGAAAGAAGAAAAAAATAGCAAATCAATTGGTGGCAAATATTAAATTTGGGTTTGCTTTCAGTAAAATCTAAGATCTGTGATCTGCATGTTCCATATTCTAAGTAGTCATTGATACCCTTAAATAGAGTAAAAAATGTTTTGACATGAGGTTTTAACAGAAAGGATTTGGTCCTAAATTCTATTAAAGATTAAATTTGACCCCAGAGCCACCTTATCTAATCTTTGTAGTTAATGAAGTTACATGTAGGACCTGCCCAAAAAAGGAATGAAGGACTGAGGTCTTTCAAGATAGCACTTGTCTGTCCAAACCACAGAGCTCAGAGGCTCAGGCCGGCTTCCCTCAATTTCCTGACACAACAGGCTCTGTCTCAAGTTCTCTTCCACGGTGGGTCTGTCCTGCTGCCCAAGCGTTCGCCTGCCTCTTGCCCTTAGAGTATTTTATCAGTTGCTTTGAAAATAACTGGGCTTCTGCTTTTGTATCATTTAATCGATAGTTTAAATAGTAAGTATCTTAAGTAAAGATGAAAAGCAAAAGTCATAATGTATAATGGC